GGTCCCCAAAACCCCATGCAGATGCTCCACAGGGTCTTAAACCCAGCCCACATCCACTCATTTTTGGGGTTATTTACCCAAATTTTGGCGTTTTTACAGCAGCCAGGCAGCACAAAGCCTTGATGTGATTTTTTCCCTATTTTTAGGGTGCTGCGGGTACCCCAAAATGTGGCGGGGCATCCAAAAAAAGCCCCCTTATTTTCATCTCCGGTGGCCAACCTGAGGTCGGGAGCGGCATTTGGCTGGTGGCCCTGGTGGCTGCCAGCTTCGTGCCAAAACCCCGGCCAAGAATAAGCGGTGTCCCTGCCCCATGCACCCCCAAAAACCACCGAGCACCCCGGGACTGGTTAAACATAGCTCGGGAGCGCCTGGTTTCTGGGAAGCCCCAGCACCAAGGGGTGGGGATGCGGCTGGGGATGCCGGCGCAGGGACAAAGGGCGCCGAGCGAAGTGGGGGTGTCATGGGCACCCCCCCAAGAAAAATCTGGCGCCGCTCGGTTCACCGCCTGCGCCCGTTCCAAAGTTTGCTGGTTAATCACAATTTTTTTCACAAAACCAGAGTGGGGATTTATTTATAAAGCTGGTAAATAAATAAAAAGGGGGGGGGGGCGTTTGCAAATCTGGGGCTTTTTGGGGGTGCATGGGACAGGGTGTGCAAAGGGCCGCCCGTGCACGTGATTTGTACACCCAAAGCCTCTCCCTGGCCTCAATTTTGACCCCCACCAACACCTTACAAGCTGCAAAAGCGCCCTCCCCTAATTACTTCCTCCCCTAGTTACCCCAGCCCCTAATTAGCCTCCTGAAGGGGCATGCCCCAGAGGGCAGCACTCCTTAAATTCTCCTTGCTCCCTTCTTCCTGCCCTGAAACCACCCCAATCTCTGCCCTGGGCAGCAGATTCCCTTAAACCACAGGATTTCAAAGCAAAATGAATCACCAAGGAGACAAAAAAGCCAAGTTTTGGGGACAAATTAACCCAGTAAGTTAATTTTTTTCCCATCTTTGTGTGGTTTCTGGGTGCCCACACGTGTGACGAGCTGGGCGCCAGGGTCAGTCCTCAGCTGAGAGGAGGGATGGAGGCGTTCTGGGACCCAGCCCCGTGGCGTTTTCGTTCAAAAAACAACAAAATAAGGGTTTTTATCCACCAAGGCTTCGGCTCCTGTCCCAAATCCCGTGGTGGGTTTGGGTTGGGAATGGGCAAACGACGCAAATTATAGGGGAAGGCACCGTGTATTTACAGAGGCAGCTCCCGGCACCAAACCGCCGGCGGCCGCTTTTGCTCCGCTGAGTCTTTGCTTTTTTTCCCAAAAAAAATGTAAAAGAGGGGGGAGGAATTAAAAATAAATCCCCCGTTGGCGAGAGGCGCTTCAGCCGAGGAGGAGGAGGAGGGTGAGGAAGGGCAAGGTGGCGGCCATGGCGGCAGTGGGGCGGACGGCGGCGCTGCAGTGGGCACGGTTGGAACCGATGCAGGCGGCGTAGGCCATGGCGTGGGGGATGTAGTTCTGCTCGTGGACCCCGTGGAAGAGGTGGGCCATGGGGCCGCGGGCAAACACGGCCACGTCCTCGCCCCCGTGGGTCTCCTGGCGCAGCGGCACGGCCGATTGTGCCTGGTAGTCAGCGTGGGCTGCGGTAAAAAAAGGCCAGAACATCAGAATAATTATTAAAGAAGTGATGCTGGAAGAATTTAAGGGTGATTTGCCCCAAATTGTACTCACCGAAATCCACGGCGGAGACGTTTTCCCGCTCACCTGCCACGATTTTGTAGCCGGGGCCATTGCCGTAGAGGATGGAGGTGAAGGGTTTGCGGTCCACGTCGCTCTGCATGGGGGCCAGGCCTGGAGGCAGCGGAGGCACCGTCAGGTGGGTACGTCCCCAAGGTGATGTCCCCAGGGGGTCCCCGAGACCAGAACTCACCGAAAATGGGGTTCCCGCGGGGGGTGTATCC